GGACTTTTACCTCATTCCGTTAGCTTTGTTTTCCTTACAGGGGATGCGAGCGAGGACGTGAGTCCTGTGCAGATTAGCTTGGTCTAGTTTTTTGAATTTTTTTTTATGTTCTCACGCTAGTGCTTGGATAAGGTTGAATGTAGTAAGAACTTAAAGCTTTTGTTTTAATTGAGATTGTATTTCTGTTTGAGATGGATATGAATGTAAGTATATGTTTCAAGTTTGGGAATTGTTTTTCGCTTAGTCTCGAAGTTATATCTTATTTCATTTGATGAGAGTGATCGAGTTCTGGCGAGAGTTGGGCAGGCGGTCCGCCAAACCCTTTGGTTCACCTTAGGGGAAGGTAGAGCTGTCACAGCATAGGCAGAATATTTTTGGAATCAAACAGATTGGGATCATTCTCAATTCATTGTTCTTTTCTCCAAGTTTTCCTTCTTTCTTGTTCATCTTCTTCTCTTTTCCTGCCATACTCTGTAACGTCATTTTGTGTTTATCAATATATCACCATTGAGCTAGTTTCTTGCCAATTATTATTTCCTGTTAATTTTTGAGGATTCTATCTTGCTATTTTAATTGTTGTCTTGTTCCATTATCCTTAATCCTGCTCAGTACCATCCCTAATATGTAAGTTCATGTTAAGATTAATTGGCATCCTCATGTTTCTGATTTTTATTTGCTTTATTTTTAGTTTCTGTTGTGTTCCTCTCAAATAAAAACTGATTATTAGTAAATTAAATTTGATTCTGAGATGAGGAAAAAAGGGGGCTAGGGTTATTTGCTAGGTATTCCATTTGCAAGCTTCTTGAGAATTTTTTAGTTGACATGTTTGTTAAATATGTGCTGATTCTACAACGCATTTCTCATTTGGTAATTTGCTAAATGCTAATAAAGACTATAAGTGTGGCTAGTGGATTTGCCTAGAAACATAGTAGTTATTTGGTTTTTAGCAATTGTCGATACTAATATTGATATCTTTGTTTAAGACTGAAGAATTATTGTTAGTTCTATTCGTTTACACAATATAAAGAAATAAGTCAATGAAAAATCTATTCATGTATGCAATCCTTATACATTTTCAAATGAACCAGGTTTCTTGCGAATGATGTCTTTAGGTATGTCTAGTGGGTTCACCAAGAAGCTTAGTAGTTGTTTGGTTTTAGCAATTACCAATATTGGTATCTTTGTTTAAGATTAAAGAGTTATTATTAGTTCAATTTGTTTACACAACATAAGAAATGGGTCTATGAAAAGTCTATTTAAATATAGAATCCTTATGCATTTTCCGTGGAAGGTTCTTGCTTAGCTCTTGAACATATTTGAAATGGTAATAAAATGATATTATGTAATTTTGTTAGACTATGAGCTTCTTGATTGGTTATTACTTACGTCAAGCCCACATCTAAACATATAATAACTTATGAAAACCTTAGAATCAAATTCATCTAAACACCCCAAATCTTAAAATTTTATGGTACCATGGTCTTGTTGTCAGTGTAAAGCTTAATTAGAACCTGTAGTCTTTTATTAATGCCACAATAGCACTTGATTTCCACCCTTTGGAAAATGTGCAAGTAGCTACTTGTTGAGGTGTGGTTTTTGACTTGTTAACATTTGCATTATTGGTATTGAACTTGATATAGAATGCTCTGCCCGTAGGATTCTAATGCAAAGTGCATCTTACATACATAGCATATATCAAAGGTGTTTTAAGTTTAAAACAGAAAAGAAAGGTGAGCAGATAAAGAATTGGTAGAACTCGAAAAGTTAGTAGCAAGAAGAATTAAGTTAAGAGTTGCTCTATAACTAAAGCAAGGATATGATAATTAATATATGTTCTCATTTGTTATGGATAACCACATACATGATGATTGTTAAAATGCCACTTGTTGTACTTGTGTAATTTCTTTTTTTGCTTCTTCTTTTATGCACACCCGTTACACCTCAAGATGATAATTCAATATTTTTTGGAGATTGAAACTATATATAGTGGTACTGGAAATTGCTTATAAATGTTTATTTTTTATGGAACTTTTTCATTTAGTTATTGATCTGTAATATTATTTTGTGCATTTTCTTTTCAATCAATGACATTAGAATGTAAAGCTTCTTGGTAATATTGGAAAGAGCTCAAATTTTCGGTTCAGTTAGTACTCCTTACAAACTTAGTTGTTCTTTATTGTCTAAGAATGATTATTCAAACTGATCTATGACTATTACATCATACGCCCACATGTTTGTGATGCAAGTATGCAATAGTTTTCTAATATGTTACAAAATTTTCATTTTTTCTGAAACTTATTGGAGTGTAATAAGAGTTGGACAAATTTTCAAGAAAAAGTGAAAAGTACAGTACAAGACTTATTATCTTCATAAATTTTGCAATTTTTAAAATCAAGTTGTGATGGAAAGATCTTATATCCTTGTATAACTGTGGCATGGATATTTGTGATTGAAATGGAAGCTCTTAGCCATTTGAAAGTTGATGGATTTAAGGATATACAAATTGGATAGCACATGCATGGAGAACTTTCATATAAAAATGCATATTTATTTTAGAAAAAACTTCTAATAGGGTTTCAAATGGGCTTACAATGTACAAAACTTGGTGCATGATTTATTTGGGAAACCCAAGATACATATGTAAATGAAGTATGAAACTGAACAATTACAAAGAGGTTGGGACCTTTCTATTTTAGAAGCCGCCAAATTTTATAAATTGATTGATGATTCTCAAAAAGAATTATATAGTGGATGCAAAAAATTCTCAAAATTGGCATTTATCATTCATCTACATCATTTAAAATGTCTTGGTAAATTGAGTAATAAAATTTTTGATACACTCTGGGATTTGTTGAAGGAAACATTTCCCAAAGCCATGACTAATTTAACGTCTTCTTATTATGCGGCTGACAAGTTGATCAATTAGTTAGGTTTCGAGCATAAAAAGTGTGATGCTTGTACAAATGATTGCACTCTTTATTAGGGTTGTGATAAAGAAAGAATTTATGTGAAGCATGCAAAAGAATTTTTTGATGTGAAGGATGCAAAAGAATTTTTTGTGAATCATGCAAAGAGCTTAGGTCGGCTGTCTCGAAAAATGATCCAACTTGTGAGAAAAGAAAATTTTCTCGTAAAGTATTGTGGCATTGTCCCCTTGAAGCTAGATCATAGAGACTGCGTATGTCCTCTAAAACTACATCTCACATGAGATGGCATAAAGAATAATGTACAAAAGATGGTTATATTAGACATACATCAGATTATCTTGCTTGGCAAACTTTTGACCATCAACATCTAAAATTTGCTAAAGATTGTCGACATATCAGATTTGGGTTAGCATCAGATGAATTTAATCAATGTAGAAATATGAATCCTTCACACAGTACTAGGCCCGTGGTCTTGATGCCTTACGATTTACCTTCATGGATGTGTATGAAACAACCATATTTCATGTTATCATTGTTGATACTTGGACCGTATTCTCCTAAAAATAACATTGATATTTATCTACAACTTCTGATTGAAGAGCTGATTGAGTTGTGGGATGTAGGTCTTCAAACTTATGATGCATCAAAAAATAGAATTTTCAATTGTATGCGGCATTGATGTGGACAATTAGGAATTTTCTAGGATATGCAATGCTGTCAAGGTAGAGTACTAAAGGTGAATAAGCATGCACAAGTTACTCATGCACGGTGGCTAAGGCATGGTCTCAAACATTGCTACTTGGGCATGGTAGATTTTTAGATGGTAAACATAAGTTTAGGAAGGATAGCAATTCTTTTAATGTTTCAGCTTTTTCCTTATCATTTTCTTTTTGCTTTTCAATGTATTTGCTAAATACATCTTCTATTTTGCAATTGATCAAGGGTATGTTTGTCATAGCTATGGTTGTTGATTCCAGTTTAGGCAAATCTTTTTTTTTTACCTATATATTGTTTAAAGCTTCTAAATTTTGCTTTCTTCATGTTTTCAATTGATTTATATGATAAGTTTTATTTTTTTTTTTTCATTTAAAAGGTTAAAGGGTTAAATTTCATGGGTAAAAGTAGCTAATTGATACAATTTGACTTGCTATATTTGTCAAATAGATTGAATTCATCTTCCAAAACCAAGTTTTATTGTGAAACTTTTGGACCAGGTATGTACTATTATATGGCTCGTAACCTCACGAATTATTTCGTTTTCTCCGGCATTTATACTGTTGCATGGTGAAATGGGAGACAAACAAATCACTCTAATGTGTTTTTTGTGCTGACATCCTTAAGAATTCTGCTGTTTTATCATATTTTGTTTTCTTTTTTTTTTCTAATGTTTGCATATATGCTCTTTCAATTTATTTGTTAGATTCTTCTTCTTCAGTTTTTCCTCTCAATCTATCTTTCTCGAATCTTGGTTTTTGACAAACTTTGCTTGGCCACATTTATTGTTCAATTGATAGAAAAAGTTATCGGAACTAAACCTTTGAACCATGAAGGAAAATTAAGAAAGTCTTGGGTTTTACACAGTAGTAGAGGCTCTCTACTCAAGCACAAACGGTTTCTAGAAGTTATTAAGGTTTAAAAAAAGGTAACTCCTATTTCTTTTAAAGCAGAAAAAAATGGAAATATTACCATGATGTTTGTTTCATTATATGCTTTTGACTACTGAAGCAATACTAAGTATATAGGTAAACTTGTAGATACCAAATTTTTTATTTTAAATTTTATTTGTTTAATTAATTTAATTTTGGCTTTTATTCGTTTCAATTTTTGGTTTTATTTTATTTAAGGTTAAAAACATTTTTTTATCTACTAAATTTCAGAAAAGAAAAAAGAAGAAAAGAGGAAAAAGAAAAAAAAGGAAAAAGAGGGAAAAAGTAAAAATGACAAGTGAAGGGCATGCAATGGGACAAGTGTTCTTTTGTGTCTTGGACAACAAAGCACCTGAGGGGTTAGGTGCCTAGACACTTTTTAGGTTTGAGAATTTTTGGGGGAAAAAAATCAAAAAAAGAAAAGGGTTTGGGGAGAGAGTTGAGAGCCGAGGGAGAGTGAAGAAGGGAGGCGGCTAGAGAGCGAGAGAAAGTCTCGGGGCTGGGAAAAGAAACGAAAAATCAGGAGAGAGGGATGGAACAAAGAAACGAAAAAACCGAAGGGAAAGAACAGAGAGTTTCGTCTGGGAGCTGAAAAAAAAAGGGGAAAAAACAGATCAAGTGAAAATCTGAAAATCGAGGGGATTGTTCTTCTCTTCGGGGATTCAAGCAAGAGACAGAGAAAATAAATATCATCTGAAAAGCTGCTGCTCACTGGAATCCACGGTCACCACTGGATTTTTACCGAAAGTGCTGTAAGCCATCTTCCTCTTTAAATTTCGTTTTTCTTCAAGCTCAGATGTTCAAAGCATAATTTTTTCTTGCAATTTTCCGGTGATTTTCTGCAATTGTGAGCATGCACGCTCTGTATGTTGAATGGACTGTAGATTCATTATTTTTGTGTGTTTCTGACAAATTTGTGGGGCTGATTACGGTTTCAATTAAGCAAGGATCGGTGACTTTTCTTTTGCCCATATGTTGTTCGATAAAATGCCCAACCGAATATTATGTTTGAAAGATGACTTGTCTGCATTTTGCGTGAAAGGAAATGACATGGTCAGCAAGTGCAATGGTAAAATGTAGAGTTTTTTTTTAGGGTTTCTCGCGTGCTTATTTTGGCGCCATTTCTGTTTTCTTTGTCTTATTCTTCCCTATGTATCAATTCGAGCTACTGCTATGAGAGGGAATGGCTAGAGTTGAGACCGAATTGTTGATATTGCTCTGATTGAAAAGAAAGCCGAAATGGTAATTGATGTTAGCTTGCTGATCTCTTGTTCGAAACCTGGGTTACATGATCTTGCAAGGGGCTTTGAATCACGTGTTTAAACTACTGCAATGTCCTTTTTCTTATCTATGCAATTTTTGAATCCTAACTTGAGATATGTTTTGGAACTTTATTTGGGAATTCATGTGGGTTTAGTTGCTGTGTGTGCGGGAATGCATGAATGTTTTTGGCTTCGTTTGTGCATAATCTGGGTAGAAAAATTGCTGGGGGATGTATAGTGTACGGTTTGGTTTGGATGCTAAAGATGTATAAAGGGTCATTTTAATTCGGAAAAATTGCTGCATGAGATTATTAAACCTGAAAAGAGGTAGAAGAAATCAGTGAAGAAAAGTGGCATGTTCTGTTTCCATTCTAAACTTTTCGTTGTTTGTTCGGATGTTGAAGTCTTTTTCTGGTTTTGTTGCTGAAGCTTTTAGTTTGATGTAAATCTGTGGTTTGTCGTCCAGTTGATATGCCATATGAACGTTCATCCTAAGTTTCCTCCTTTTGTACCTTTTGCTGCATTTTATGTCTAGCTGCTGTGATTGGATTTTCTAGGGATAAATGATTGTGTTTGGATGATGTTAATTGAATGGATTGAAGCTTTGTTGATTTTAGATTTGATAAACTAGGGAGTTTGGCTTGAGTTTCGCATTAATCTACCTGGTAGAATAAGAAAGCAGGTTGCGGAAAAAAATTGCAGAAGTATTGTTAATGAGGAAGAAAACTGTTCTTCGTAAGCCTGCATGGGTTTTTCCTAAATAATTGCAATTTAACCCCTCAATTTGTGTCTAATTTCATTATGGCCCTTCAAATTTTCAATTTCTTTCAATTGGTTCCTTACTTTAATTGCAAATGAGTCCCTGAACTTTATTTTTCTTTAATTTTGACCCCAAAACTTTGTTAATTTTTTGCAATCAAGTCCTTTCTTCTTTTGACTTCTGAAATATGGGTGGTTTACATGATTTAATTGATTCAATTTCATGTTTATTTTTATCTTTTGTGATTACTTATGCATTAAAGTGATGCCTTGACATTTTCTTTGTATTTTGGAGGGTAAATAAGTAAATTTGTGTTATTAGGGCTCCAACTCAAGGGATGTACACTCTATCCCTTATTTCTGATTTATTTGACCATATGTGCACTTATGTGTTTTATGTGTGTAATTGCATGATTCTGAATGTTTTATTTTATTTTCATTCATTTATTTCTTTAGTTATTTAATTTTACTTTAATTTATGCGCTTATTCTAATGTAATTATTTGAAAGGCATTTAAATGCCAAGTTGTAATAGTTAGGCTTGTTTTACTTCATTTTATTTCACATTCCCTTTTTAGATTGTAGTAGGGCCTCCCCTTTTGTAATAGATAGAGCTTATGTGCTATGTTTTTTGTGTGTGCCTATTTGCCTATATGTTTAATCGCTTTCCCTAGGCTTATGCATCTAGATGAGCATGCTTATGTGTTACGTGCTATGTGAAACTATGTATTTTGCATGTCTATTTGCTTTTAATATTAAATCTGATTATGTGGATGGAATGCACGTTACCGTGGCTAGTCCAATGCTAGTCATGGTCTTCCCCTCGAGCTCACAAGTCCAATGCTTGTGAGAGAGTGTTAGTGAAGGGTTAGTCCAATGCTAGATCCAATAGGACCGTCCCTCGCTAGTACATACTTGCATGCCTTCATTACATTTTCATTCATTTTTCTTTTTTAGTTTTACATTTTTGCATGACCCTTCACTCCCTTTCCCGCATTTGAAACACGATTTTTAGGATTTTACATTTTGTTCTAGTTATTAGGGTCATCTGCTTGATTAGATTAGGGAGTCACCCTTCTGGTAAGGGAAACAGACGAGTATGACTACACATAACCTTAGCATGTTTATTTCTTTTCTAACCAAAAGGCAAATCAAAAGTCACGATTTAGGATCTCCCCGTACTCGTTTTGCTTGCATTCCTTTAGGGCTCATGCATTGCCAAGGCACATTACCATTTGCACACTCCCACTTTACACTATCACTTTTTCATTATCACTTCACACACTCTCACTTTATACATTTTCAACTCCGCACACTACCACTTTACCAACTATCACTTTTCACTTTCACCTCACTTTACACTCTCACATCTACACATTTACGCTTTTACATACTCATTTGCACACTCGCACCTTACACTCTCCCTCAATTGTATACCTGCATACTCATTTGCTCCCTTGCACTTTACATACCCATTCACGCACTTGCACTTTGCACATTTGCACCTGACACTCGCTTTTACACTCAAAGACATTTTCGCAAACACTCATTTTTTCTCATGATTATTCGAGCATTCATTTGCATTTATTCGTGACCTCTTTGAGGGTTCACCGTTGGCTATCACAATTCATGTGATTAGGATCAATCGAGCCTCAAAAGAGATATTTCGTCCCATTCGAACCACTCATTAGATTTAGGTTTGCATTCAAATGCAATACATCTTTTGGTTAGAAATTAAGGAAAATTATGACTAAATCACGCAACTAACTTAGGTTAGGGTAAAAGGGTACCTTAGACTTTGTTTTTGCTTTTCTTTTTATCAATCGTGACCCCCGAATTCGTCTCTCTGATTTTCGTAGGGTAGGAGTCATCTAAAAAGGTTTTTTGATTCATTTTTTCAGAAACTACTTTTTGGGTGACTTGGTACATCCCAATTCAATGCCAAGTGGCGATTCTTGCTTTTCCGTTTAAAAACCTTTTTAGATTATTATTTTGGCCAAACCGTCGCATTTAAAAGTCCCATGGCCTTTTCCTTTATTTCTCACATTCACACACTTCACATATTTCACAAACACTACACATTATGATTTTAAAAGACTTTTTTTTTTATTTTCCAAAAATGGGGCAAGGTAAAATTTCAACTATGTCCATCCTTGTTGCAACATTTACTTGGACAGTTGGCAAGCAACCTATTAAAAGTTGAATTTCAATCGATGGGCAATATTGAGCATTAGCAGTTAAGTACACAAAATGCCCACGACCAAGATAAATGGATGTATTTGAACAAAATGATGTTTTGTGATAAAATCATATAATTTTCATGTCTTTCAAAAAAAGCTTCGCTTTGTAGCTCACTGCATTTGTTCTTATGGATGCCTTATTTGATTTTGATGCTTTCTAAGAACAGCTGCTACAAATTTGCCCTTTTTTCCTTTTGCTATGGTATATTCTTTGTACTCTTGAATGATGGCAACGTTGCAAGAATTTTTTAAGATAGTAGTTAAAGAATCAACTTTTAAATTACATTCGTCATCTACACCTTAAATGATATATTTCCCTTTTCTCATTTCTTCCTGAGATGCTTTTCTTAAGCTCTTAGTTTATTTTCCTTTTTTATTTACTTTGGGTTTTTTATTTCCATACATCTCACCTATGGAGTTTAAAATTTGCCCTTTTCTTTCCATACATCTCAAGGGTAGGGATTGTTTTGCTGCTAGTTTGATTTCTCTTTAGCTCAATATCATACATTCCCTCCTCTTCTACTCAATAACTACATGAACTATTATTATGAGCTATTGATGAAGTTCGTGTGATTATGTGTTTTTCTCCTCTCTATTAATCTTTTCTTGCCTTTTTAAAAGATTTTAATTTCTTCAAATAAAAAGAAAAGAGCCAAACCAAATACTTGGTTAATTGGTCAACTGTTAGGAGATGTGACTCGCTACTCCATGGTGAACTTTTTGGAAGTCTAGCAAAAGCTTTTTCTAGTTAATACTTTATGTTCTTGTCTGTACATACAAGGAAAAAGCAAAATTTAGGCTGGATAAAAAAGAAGCAACCTCACCTAAGGCTCATGTAATACATTTCGTGGATGAACGTCGCGATTCTCAAAGTCATTTAAGTTTGGTGGATGAACCTCACCTAAGGAATTTTCCAAACATTGTTGTTCTTAATTGACTCATCACCATCATAATCTGGTTATCTGAGTCACTATCATCATTATCATCATATAAGTTTTCATCAGAGGTGATCCTGTAGTAGTCACTCTCATTGCTACTGCTATCATAACTACTGTCATTGTCATCGTCGTCTTCATCATCATATCCTTCTTAGTGTTGTTTCTTGGAAGCCACATTTTTAAGTGGCCATTGTGCCTTAAACAAGACATTGTACCTCGACCAGGAACAATCACCTCTTCCTCAGAAAAAAGGTGGCATCATTCATGTCAAGTATATGGTAATTTAAGTGCGTACCTTCATTAAAAGAGATAAGCATGAAATTGGTGGTGGAAACAATCATGGCTTACTATGCATGCATTTATCTGTGTAATCCAACCTCTATCTCTAGAGGATTTTCGTGAACAATTTTTGATTTGGCATCTTTGACAGATATTGCACCATGCGCGCAATTTGTTGATAGTCTTGGTAGTACTTTAGAAAAATGTAGAGAATGGGGAAAACAATGGTGATAGCAGGTTGAAGCATTGCTAAAGTTTTGGGTCATCAGATGTGTCTGTGTATTTCAAGTTTTACTCATGAAAAGCCAAACGTTGCCCCGTTTGACAAGTGAGTTTTTTGGATATTTGTTTAAAATTTTACTGTAGTTTACTATGGAAGTTATAGAAAATTTTTGGATATTTTGAAATACATAGTTTAAAAATTTTGAGAAATTTTTTGAGGTTATTATAACTAAAGTTGTTAAAAAATTATAGCAAACAAACTTGACAAAAAACTTGCTTGCCAAACAAGGCTGTTATTTTCAAGTTTACAATAAAATTATGCACTATAATTGAGGTACAATTTTGTTACCTAAACCCTTGAGAATTTGTCTGAATTTCCTTTCAAATACCAATAGAATTTGAATCTCCCCCCCCTCCCAGGGGTAGGGTACAACCCCCAAATACAAAACAGCTAATAGCAATTAGCAGCCTACAGGTAACTGCTCCAGGCTTCTTAAATCCAAATTTACCGTTTTTCCCAATTAATGATTTTTTCACAACATTTGACCAAGAATTTGAGTTAGACTTGGCTATCTATATATTTTTATTTTTATTTTTTTATAATAGGCAATATCTACATTATTCCTACTCTAACAGACACTGAGAGAGGACTCAACTGGGCAATAGGAGGTTAGAAGTAGAGGATCCCATCTTTTGACTAAAGGGGTGTATTATTGCATACTTGGATTTTATTCTACATTATTATTCCTGAACTAACACTTGGAGAGGACTCAACTTGGTCATGGGAGGCTAGAGGTAGAGGATCCTATCTCTTGACTAAAGGGGTGTACTACTACACACCCTTTTAATTTTAATACAAGTATATCGGTTTGAACCTCAGAGTTGGAGGCAAACTAGCAACTGATGTTTCACATAATGACCAGATCTCGTATGGCGAGTTGCTTGAGTCTTTGACCATATGCCAAAGTGAAAAAACTTCATTTTGGCATCGATTTCTCAGAACCAGTTGGACAGCTTCGAGTGAATATCGTATGCTCATATAAGATTGAGTTTGGGGTCATTTGTGTTGTGAACTTAGGCTCTTTCGACTACTTGATTTTGGAGTTATTTGTCTTTGAAATTTTGGCAGGAAATAAACGCTGCATGTGGTGTCAGTTGTTAATTTTGAGAGTTGGGATAACTTTGCGTATTTGTTCTGCTGTGTGGACTCATTCTGCCTTTGTTTTGGGGCAGGTGTCTTTGGGGCTATCTAGGTATTTTGATTTGTGGGTGGATACATTTGTGCAAGTTGTACAAGCAGGTGAAGTTATAAATGTGAATGAATTGACAAATTTATACTTTATGTGGTGGAAAATTTTGTTACAGCTTAATTACTCTATTTGCTTTAAATGAAGATAATCATTATCTGGTAACTGCTACTAGTAGAAGAAGGTTATAATGATGGTGAAATTTCTATTATGCCCTTGCATGCTCACCCAAGTCTTCCAATGTAGTGTCACATTCACGTGGGATCAGATTAATTTTTTACTTTGATGTGGTTATTTATTCAAACACATTTAGAGCTCCCATTTTTGTAGTTTTGGTTTTGTTTTTGGCTTTTCGTGTATTGTGCATTTTGTCTATTATTGAATTATATACATTACTTGTATAATTGTTACAATTGTTACCGAGACAAATCTACCACTTAAAAAGTGTTTGGTTGAACGGAAAACATTTTCTCAAAAACGTTTTCCTAATTTTTCACTGTTTGGATTCAATTTGATTTGAAAATATTTCTGACAAAAAATAACTTACACCGAAGAAGGAAAATAACTTCCTTACTTTATTAAAATCACGGCCTCTTCTTTTCATAGCTTTCAAAGGATTGAAGACCATCGATTGAAAACCCATCGGCAAACCAATTCCTTCTTCGCTAGCAACATCTCCAGTTTCGGCGAAGACCCACTTCCAGAGGTAGGCTACTCTTTCAATTAGGTTATTATCTTTTTAAAATCAGCTAAATTATCATCTCTCTCTCTCTCTCTAATTTTTTTTCCCTTTAAAAGCAGCCACAACGGCTCATCCCCGCTCTGGCAGCGACATTTCATCCCAATTCCTGCAACAGCATTTCCAACAAGGGCAAAGACTCCTCAAGTATTTCCAGAGGTATGATGGTCTCTTATTAGTTTTTTTCTCTCCCTTTTCCTTTGAAAAGTTGACTAGAATTACTGGTGTAGATTCTTGAAGTTGGATTGGAATGAATTTTTGTGGGTTGCTTTTGTTTTAGTTTGTTCTTACCTGATTAGGGTTACATTTGATTTGATTGATGCTAATGAATTAATTTGGCTGCTGAGTTTTGCGGGTTTTATGATTCTTGACTGACAAATTAATATGTGTAAGCTGCGAGGGATGGATTGTGATGTTGTTCCAGCAGCATTGGCTCAAGATAATTTGGCTGGTTGATTTTTGTATGTCAACTTCACATTCTTTTGGGGTACTTAAGGACACTATCTTAGAGTTTGAAGGTTTACTTGGTATTTGACCTAATTTTCAAGAATATAATGTGTTTCTTGCTGTGTTTGTGAGGAGTTAAGAAGCGAACTTTGTTCTATTTTTCGGATGCCTAGAGGTTCCTTGAAGTATTTAGACTGCAAATTTTCTAGAGCAGTGTTGGACAAGGTTCAGAATCTTTGTTTACTTTATTTAGGCACAATCACTTGGACAGAGGAGGTTCAGTGGTGGTGCAAACACTGCAGCACAAACTCCTTTGGTCACCCGGTTAAAAGGCTCGCTTTTCCTATGACAATCTACTTTCTTTGGCAGGCAAGGAACAAGTGTATTTTTCAGCATTTGTAACCTTCAACTGTGGTTGTAGTTGCTGTTGTAATTAGTATTTAGTGCCATGCAGTTGCTTGTTGCTTCCTAGAGTAAGATTCCACACACTAAAGAAACTGAGAGTTGGCAATAGATTTGGGCATTAGATCATAGCTGTTTTCTTTGTGTGTGAGAGAATCTACAGCAAGATATAGAGAACATATTATGAGGCTTCGACTGATCAGGCCCTGATTATTAGTTGCATGTGTGCAAATAATGGAATTCCATGATTTCAAGTTCCAATTTCATCAACCTGCACTTAAGACCAAATCAAATCCAGACCCTAAACTTAACGTCACCACCAAATCCTCTAAAACGCAAGTCAAATCTTCAATATAGACTTAGACACCTGTCAAAAATATTGAAGTACAAGTTATCAGAAAATTTTGTGTATTTTGAAATATGCAGAAAGAGATTTTTACTTAATTGTCCATCTTCATGCTTTACTTTCTTTTGTTCAAATGGAAAAAGGGTTAACACAAATTCTTCATTATCTTTAGCTAGGAAGTGAAACTAGACAGACTTTCAAGCTTTCTATGTTTACTTTAATTATTCCTTGGATAGAAATGTCAAATACATCCAATATCAATAATGCCTAGTAAATAATTTATATATGCAGAAGTTTACCTGACCAGGACAGTTGATGTTATCTGGGTAATAGTTCTGGTCAATAATGATGGGGTTTTGGACATTGATCATAGTGGCTTGCTGGAATAAAACATCCTTGACAACCTTTGCTTGGCCTACCCCACGATTTAATCCTTGCACCATTCTGTGTATTCCTGAATGTAACAGTTTTGACTGTCACATTCTGTACTCCCTCTTCTTCAAAATCATTTATTTTTATGCCGGACACCTGTCAAAAATATTGAAGTAAAAGTTATCAGAAAACTACACCTTGATCTTTTTGCCCAGTTAGATAGCTAATATTCTTACTTCATGGAAGGAGGAGTATTGACACTGTCTGTCTCTCTTACGGGAGAATGATTATTAGTTCATGGCATTACTTGTGAACCAAAAAACAGAAATATTTGTAGAAGATTGTGATGAATGAGGTGATTTAAGCCCTGTGTACAAGCAAAATAGGGGAATGAAAATGGTAGAAAGTGACAAGTATTCTGTTATAGGTACATGATGTATCTTTAAACTACTGGAAGATTCCATAGCTTGTCCATCCCCAGAAAAGCCATTTCACTTTCTCCTGGAATTTCCACCTTCAAATTCTTTTTATATATCACTTCTCCCTCCAATTTTCTCTTTTTTTTTCTTTAACTTAAAGCAAAGAAAAAAAAACATGTTGTATTATATGTTGTTAGTGTTGCATATAACAAAAATAATTGACAGAAATTACAACTTGTAAACTTACTTGAATTCTGGAGTTGATAGCCAGCAGCTCTATCAAGTTAGAAACAAAGTGCATGGCTGGTTAGTCTGGCTTTGCTTTAAATAAAGGAAAAGCAAAGCAAAAGAAAAGAAAAGAAGTGGATAATTTGTCTATGGTAAAGATAAGACAGGTGGGGGTGGGACTGCACTTGTGTTAGCAGTAATTAAAATGATGGAGATGGCCATGCAACCATCTTTGCCTTTATATATGATGTCTATTTCTTTCTCACAGGTATGGTAATATTGTCCATTAACGTCCCAACTGCATTCATCACTTTATATGATGCTTCAACCGCTCCACTGGATTTAACTTTAATAGAACCCTATGATTAGCTAGCTACCTTTTTTTTTACCCATTTCTTTTTCCTTGTTCATGATCAAGAATAGGAATTCATCTAGAAATGTATCAAGAAATGCACTAGTTTTGTTTTCTTTTGATGACAGAGGGAACTCAATATTTGTGGCTAAACTCAGCAAGATGCACCTGTAATAGTTCAAAACTGTACATATTACTATTTTACCAAACATATTGATCATGTGTATGATGTATCACAAACTATACACATACAGAGTACATATTAATTTGTGCTATGTCATGAGGAATTTCACTAATCTATTATCTAGTATTAGTTTTAGAATATACTTTTATGTCTTGAAATGATGGTAATTTATCTGCCACTAACTTGGTGAACCATTTAATCAATCTAGATGCTGAAACAAGGCCTATCGCGCTTTTCTTTGCCCCCGCCCCCCCTTTTTCTTTCTGTCTTTCTCTCTTTATGTATAAGTGTTCTGATTCTGACAGTTGTAACTTTAATTTACTAACTTTAATTGCCACAGTTCACTTAATTAATGATTATGTGCATGCAATCAATTAATAATTATATTAAATTTTCATAGATGGATCCCAGTAGTGATGATGATGAGAATGCTATTGTAATTGGTGCTGCCACTTCAGTCCTAGCAGCAGGATATGCAGCTTTTGAAGCCTATAAAACTCCAGTTGTTATACCTAAACCACCTTATGTTAATAGGGAGCGAGCTAGGGAGGATTACATGGATAACATATTACATGGAAGTAGTTCCTATTGTATAGACCAAATTAGAACGGACCAAAATACATTTTCCAATTACTAAATGCTATCATGATTAGAGGATTGTTACAGCCTACCATTCATATGTCAGTAAGAGAGCAGTTGTTAATGATTCGGCAATTAGTTGGCTATAATTTGAGGTTTCGAGTGGTTGGGGGGTTGGGGGTACTTGTATAGGTCAACTGCAACCATACACCGCTATTTTTCCATTGTACTTGATGCCATATTGAAACTATAGCCAGATTTAATACAATTGCCAAATGGTGCAACTCCACGATAGATCCGTAATAGTCGAAGATACTACCCCTGGTATGCTGTAAGTTCTGTTCTTTGTATAAAAATTAATTAACTCAGATAATAGAAACTATTTTATATCTAATTTAAATCATAAAATAGGACTGTGTAGGGGCTATAGATGGGACACATGTCGTTGAAAGTGTACCTCTTGGAATTCAAGAAAGATTTCGAGGTCGAAAGGGTTACCAGACTCAAAATGTGTTAGCTGTTATTTCTTTCGGCCTCAAGTTTTCATACGTGCTTTCTGGTTGGGAAAGATCAGCACACGACTCTTGTGTTCCTGAAGATGCTCTTGCAAGACCGGTGGTCTTCAAGTACTCCAAGACACTTGTCTTTATTTATGTGAGTCATAATTATGCAAAACACCGTTAGATTAGGCAAAAGTAATTTTTTTTTAAAATTTTAGACAAGTACTATCTTATAGAAAAGAGTGCAATAGGAATTTTACCCTTATTTCCGCCCGCACTAACAGTTATATTTGACCAAAGTCTTGACTCTTTTTTTCGTTGAGGGGTTTATTTGCGTTAATATGTTTTTTTTTTTTGTCAAAATGATAATATGCTATTAAGGAGCCAAAAGAGTGCAATAGGAATAGTTTAGGGACCAGGTGGATAGTTTCCTGTCTCGTGATGTTCCTTCCTCCATATTTTACTTCTTCCTTCTGTTATTGAACCTGGAAACACCCTTCTAGAATCTCAATCAATTGGTCGATGTGTTGCTGATTAGGGGATCTCTTTATTTTCTCTCAAAAATTACATCTTCAATCTAGATTTTTATTCAAAAAATTCCAGAATAAGTGACTGAACTGACATAATTTTTCTGAAATCAATTCAGTTTTCTCCTCTTGTGTGTTTAATGGCTTCATTCAAAACCTTTTCAGCCATGAATGATGACTTATTCAATCTGCGATCATAGAGTAGAAGAGCATCCTCATAAATTTGTCCGATTTTGCTGGCAAATTTGCATGTGGGTCTTCTCGTACACTAGCTTTTGAGAAGGTTAGTTTTTGGCTATTAAATTTGCTTTATTTTATTGGTATCTATGGGATTGGGTGTTGGATTCTTGGATTCTCTCTGTTTTTTTTCCTATGGGTAATAAACGATGCATGAAATTAAATAACCGATGAATATAGCTCTAGGTGGTTTCTCATTGTTTCTTGCAATCTTTTGTCAAAGAAAAAAAAGAGGGGATTCTGATTCCTGAATTGACTCAAGGAGACTCCGGTTAGACTCAGGGTGAGTTCGATTCCCACTGATCATCTATTGTGTCTTGTCTGAGTTGAGTCAACTCAGACTTGGACGATTTGGTGAAATACTAAAGAACAACAAATCAGATAAAAGAAGCAGTAATTAGTAATTTTTTGGGTTAACTATTTTTGGGCCTTATAAAATGAGTACAACATAATCTTTTATTTCAATCATGAACAGGTTAATTTGCTGCAGTGATTTATATGGTAGTGCAGTTCTTTGGAGATGACAAAAAAAATTGGTGATCAAGCTGGCAAAATGTTCGAATATTTTGGGAGTTTCTTGAGAAAAGGTATTTTTTCAGTTCTTTCGGTTGGACCTGTTCCTGATCACATTGCATTTATTATGGATGGAAATCGAAGATACGCTAAGAAGAGGAATTTGTTAGATGGTGCTGGCCATAGGTGTGGGTATTTAGCTCTCATGAACATGCTTAAATACTGTTATGAGTTAGGTGTGAAGTATGTTACAATTTACGCCTTCAGCATTGACAATTTTAGAAGACGTCCTGAAGAAGTTCAGTCCACTATGCAGTTGATACTAGAGAAAATTGAAGATTTGATTAAGGAGGAGAGCATGGTCAATCAGTACGGCGTTAGGATTTACTTTCTAGGCAGTCTTAAACTTTTGAGCAAGCCGGTAAGGTTGGCCGCAGAGAGGGCCATGGTTGCTACTTCTGGGAATTCAAAATCTGTGCTGTCAATTTGTCTTGCCTACACTTCCTCAGATGAAATTTTGCATGCTGTTCAAGAGTGTTGTGAAGAAAAATGGGATGAAGGGAGTGCATTGGAGTCAAAAGGAGCTGGAAATGGTTTAGTTTTTCTGAAAGGAAACAAGAATGGCAAGACCAAGCCTTCAATCGTAGTCAAAGATTTAGAGAAACATATGTATGCTGCAGTTACACCTGATCCTGATATAATTATACGTACTTCTGGTGAGACTCGATTGAGTAACTTTCTTTTGTGGCAAAGTGCTAACTGTCTTTTATATGCACCCGCTATACTTTGGCCAGAGATTGGTCTTTGGCATTTGGTTTGGGCGGTCTTGGATTTTCAAAGAAATTTCTCTTATTTGAAGGAGAAAACTAAGCTATCATAAGTTAGCTGGTAAGAGTTTTGTTGCTATTTTTGTAGCTCATTATATGGTTTTGTTGATTGGTCTTTTAACTGATTTCCACTTTCATGAGACAAAAACAAACAGGGGACAGAATTTTGTTTTTGTGTCCCTGTCCTCAATATAGTGATGACACATTTCACAGATGTAGGGGAATATGGCATTTAGTTCCTAACAGGATCAGATATAGTTCTCCATATATGGTGTTATTAGAATTCTGTTGTATCTTTGTTTTTGCGGCACGGGATCTATTGTACTGTGTACTTCACAAGCAGAAAGGATTTTTTCCACTTTTCAGTTCAGCTTGGTGAAGTATTATGAAAACGTAGGAGTCTTTTACCCTTTTTTTCTTATTTTAATTGTGTTTTTTATTGTGACTTGTATATTCTGGATGACACAGAAAGTTTCAATTTTAGTTGCATTCTGTTATAATTCGTCTTTATAGTTGATAGCCCTCGAAAATCTGAAAGTACATATCTTTATTGAATAAGATATCTTTGGAAAACACATAAAATACAAAGCATGCATCAATAGCATTCATCAAGATATCTTTGTTTTCTGTGCACTTCTGCTATGCCTAATTACAATAGCATGCATCAAGAAGGCAATAGAGCCAGCGGAACAGCACCTTGACAGCCTGCATACTATGATGGTAGTATTGGGCACTTTATTAGTTACCAAGCAAGAGAGTAACACCCATAGAGCAGTCCATGTATCTTCGGAGGCAGGGAGGAATGGAGCATTTCATGGTCCTCTTAGCTTGTTAAGTAGTAATATTTGGTATTCTACATATCTTAAAATAGTTCCTTTTTTTTGGCTAAGCTAAGTGAAGGAATGGACTGAGCGGCTCATTTTGGCCATACAATGTTTCGCTTTCTTTGCAAGCTTAGAACTCAGGTGTAGAGTTCGGTACGCCCTTGAATCCTAACCCCATAAAATTGTGCATGAGGGTTGCAACTTGCAAGTGTTGCGTGTTTGAATTGTTTCTTAGGAAAAATATAACCAACTTAGCAGCATTGGTAACTTCTTAATTCAACAAATGCTTTCCACTCCTTTTTTTTCTGTTTGGAATTCTGTAAATCCTTTCTAGAACTCGTGAAAAGGCTTGATAAAGATTTATATTTAATAATTTCTGTTTGTATGGGACATGAACATGACTCTTCCATAAGACAATCTAATCATAGCATTTTTTTTAATTATTGGTTTTTAGTAATTATGTTTAATAATTTCTGTTTCTGTGGGACATGAACATGACTATTCCATAAGACAGTCTAATCATAGCATTTTTTTAGTTATTGGTTTTCTACTGACCTATTTACACCATATCAGCTTCATTTTTTTAATTATTGATTTTCTACTGACCTATGTACACCATATCAGCTTCACAAAAAATACGAAAGCAAATATTTAAAGTCAGAAAAAAATTCAAGAACCAGAACACTAATCAAGTAATGAAGTAATGAGCGGGACCAATTGAAATTGAGAAATTCCCTGCCGGGTTTTAAAGATGAATGAGGAGAGAACAAATACAAAAGTAAGGCTTATCCCAACATGAAATCAACCTCATAATTTTGTCAAAAGGCTTATCCCAACATGAACTCAACCACATAATTTAGTCATCACTCACTTCATAACAACTAATAACCCACATCATAAATTTAGCATTTGATCATGAAAAATACAATATCTAACTAAATCAAAATCAATTACAACTCTAAAGTAAGAAGATGCATAAGATCGAGCCAAGAATATAATTAATCCAACCCAAGTCATGAACTCAATCTCTCGAAACCAAGTAAACCAAAAATAAAACCAAGCAACTAAACTTTCCTTGATTAGTTGTCGAGTTTAACATCCAAACCCTCCTTTATCTTGTTGATTAAAATCACACCTTGATTGGAAGAGAGAGAGAGAAGAAGAAGAAGAAGAAGAAGAAGAAGAGGATTCGGTCGAGAGGGAGAAAATACGAAAACATGGGGAAAGTCCCTCGATAGTCAAATCTCACTACACTAGTATCTTCCAATATTTTATTTAACTATAGTTCAACCCCACAATTTTCCTAAACTTATCAATTTCACCCTCAAACTTCTAATTCTTTACTTAAGACCCTAAAAGAAAACATGGATATCACAAAAGCATGAGAGGTTTTAAGTTCAGAGAGTGAGCCCAAAACTATCTTCTATTAGTTTCAATAGAACGTGCGGCAACAACTCGAAACACAGAATAAAATAGAGGCTGGAGATGGACAAAAAAAATGCCAGAAATCAGAGTGCCGTAATTATGCGGCTATACCATGGACAAAGGAGAAATTTCCACAATTATGATGAAATTCTAAATCATCCTACAACAAAACTGATTTTGGCTGCATGCTAGAAGAGAGGTGCTTACATTCCGGAAATGCATGTAGATAGAGCATCGACTCTATAGTTTAGAGGTTTCTAGATGTGATCTTCATTCCTCATGTATCCAGTAGCCCACATTGCTAGGATTATTTTATTGTCTTCTACATTATTCATAGCAGCCTAAGTGCAAAATTGTATAGGGGTAGGACCTTGAATTGTAATATGAGGAGAGTTTTCGGCTCCTGAAGATTGATTGATGTCTTAAGTACTGTGCAACTTGTGTGTTTGTTTATATAGGTCAATTTTGCCAAATAATATTTCGCTTGTTTCTTAAATATATTTTCCAAGCCACTTTTTTATGTCACATACATTATATCACAAAAAGTGTTACAGTATTTATTCTAAATAATATTTCAAATAATACTCTATCCAAGCACTCTCATTAACTCTTGTATCCCACCTTGGATTACTAGCAATATTTCGCGTGCTTTGCACACAATTTTATCATCGTAAAATATAGTATTGTTAGATATTAAATTTTTTCTTAATTTTGATTGTCAATTGCATACTATAATATTTCAATATTTTCATTCTTAACCAATTCTGTTGAATGCATTAAGTCATAATTTGACTTTTTTTTTTTTGCCTTTAGAGAATTTATATATTTTAATTGTGACAAACAAATATCAATGCAATCATGTTATATGAAAGTTATTGTACACTTTTAATATCATTATATAAAATGTACCATCAATTTTAAAAGGAATAAGAGCAAATGAGTTTGTTTATATTAATTATGTAATTTAAACTCAACCATCGTATTAGGGTCAATTTTAAAACTCCCCCTAAAGTATATCTATATTTTCACTTTGCCCCCAACATTATTTTTTTTTCACTTCATCCCCTAAACCGTTAAGTGACTCCTATGTTGTGTGATGGTAATGTTAAAAGGATATTTATACCCTCCTATCTTATTTTACATTTTATCCTCTAACACTATTTTTTCTCAATTTGTTTATTTGTCACTAAAATCTTTAGTCAACTCCAATATTTTATAACACGAGGACAAATAATGTCTAAAAAATCAATATTCCTGGCATAGTATGAAAAAATTATGTGTTTGGATAGGAGATTATTTGGAATAATATTTTGAAAAAATATTGTAGCAGTGTTTTTAATGTGAGATAAAAAGATGGTTAAAAAGATTTTAAAAAATAGTTAGAAAATGTGTTTGTGATGCAATCAAAAAAAATTTGGCACATAAACCATTGTTCAAACACACTATATTTATAGATATGGTCCTAATAAATTTCATCCCACCTCTTTTAGATTGAGAGAAACATCTTACTAATTTCATGTAATAATGGGAAAAATAACAAAATTTGTTATTTGAAAAATTAATATGTGAAATTATTATCAAAAGTGTAAAAATGCTTGCATATTGTCTGTTTCTCTTTATGAATATGCATATAGTTTTGCTTTTATTTTAATAGTTAGATATTTTCTTTATATGGGTGTATACATTTTTTTGTTAGTAATACTTAAAAAATGGAGAAGTATGGTTGATTTGGCTTTCACAATTTTTGGGATCGTTTTTTAATATAGCATGATTAGACGCTATTAAAAATTGTTTGGATTTCTAAAAAAAATTTGTTGCATCATAAGCTCGTTTTCAATCATCTTTTTATTTTTTTAATAACATTTTTATTTCACAAATATCAAATTGCAAAAAGTATTACAATATTATTTTTAAAAAATTTTCAAATAATCTTCAGTCCAAACAAACCCAATCTATAGACCTTTAATAATATTTTTATTGTTTATTATTTCACTAATAATTTTTATTTTCCCCCTTAATATGTAAAATGAGCAGGATATTTTTCCTCTATTTAAAAAACTGTAATTATGGGGATAAAATTTAACAAGACCTATATTCATAAATATACAATAATTTTTATTATTATGTTAGGGATACTGATTTTTTAAATATTATTTGTCTTGAGTGATTTTAGGGACAAACAAACAAATTAAGAGAAAAATGATATTAGACGGTAAAATGCAAAACACGCTGTACCTTAAAGGGATTTATTGGAATTAATCCTTTGGGGTATAAATGTCTTTTTGACATTTTCATTACACAAGGTTGGAGTTGACTAACGGTTTACGGGATAAAGTGAAAAAATAACGTTAGGGGATAAAGTGCTAAATTAGTTAGACTTTAAGGGGAGTTTTTGTGATTAACCAATTTCTCTCTTCATCCTACTCCTGACAAACTCACTCCAGCTAAAGTTTGAATTGGAAACGTCAAACTTGAACCCTTAAAAAGAAAAGTAGATTTGACTAAAATACTAAATAGTTTAACGCCCTTGTTTCCATGTTCTTCTATTATTATTTTCATGCAACATTAGTTTTATAAATGATTTAATGAAATGGCTCAATGCGAAATCAAATGCATGTTTCTTAATTTGAATAGATATAAATTCTCTACATATGACTCTTTATATTTTTTAAGTGTTTTTTTTTTTGTTTTAGGTCAATTCAAGACATCATAGAGAATTCCATGACCGAGTATTTATCGATAGAGAATTCAAGACCTAGTTTGTGTTTGTTTGGATGTAAAGTGTTTTCCTAAAAATGTTTTCCAAGAGTACTTTTTTTTTCTTTTTGTTTTTTTGTTTTGGGTCAATTCAAGATATCATAGAGAATTCCATGAGTATTTATTGATAGAGAATTCAATACCTAGTATGTGTTTGTTTGGATGTAAAGTGTTTTCCTGAAAATGTTTTCCAAATTTTCCCGTGCTTGGTTATCATTTTTCTTGGAAAAAGATTAACGTGGAGAAAATATTTTGCTTCATTTGGTGGAAAATAACTTGCCCTTTTGACTTACTGAAGTTATTTTCCTTCATTGAAATGCATGACTCTTGCACTTTACAATACAGCTTGCTATGCCAACATTCTAGCAGAAACAAAGAAAGACTTCGCGGCTAAATATACAGAGAGTGAGCGATGGTGATTGGAGAGACTAAGAAATCACCAACAATATCATCATTTTCACATAATACTGGTTCAAAATTCTTTGTCCAAATCATAATAACTGAGGGATTAATTTCATTCCTTATAAAATCAGGAGGGGGTTGGCCAATTTCATAAATGGAATTTCCCTTCATAACAAATTTAATTTATTTTGATGTTCAATTTTCTTCTATATTTCTATTTATATGTATCAAAAATAGGTATTGTTATATATTCATCTAACCTATTACTGCACCCAAGCTTAAGGATGGTAACAAATAGGGCTGCAAACGAGCCGAATCGAGTTGAACTTTGGCCTTATCGAGTCGAGCCTTGACTTAATTTCATCGAACTCGAGCTTGACGAGCTGGCAATTTTGAAGTTCGAGCTCGAAAAAAATAAAAATAATTATTTTATTTTTTTAAAAAATAAATAAAATAATATTTTTTCTTAATAAATAATAAAATATTAAGGATATTTATGTAATTTTACTATTAAAATTAAAAAATATAAAAAATATATATATACTTAAAATAAAAAAATTTATAGATATACTTAAAATAAAAAATTTAAAAAATATATATATAGATATTCGAGTTTGCTAGCTAACGAGCTTAATATTTTGAGCTCGAGTTCGAGTTCGAGTTCAACTTGAGTCGGTTCGAACTCGACTCGAGCCACTCGCGAGCGGCTCGATTCGTTTGCAGCTCTAACAACAAGAGCACTTCACCCCGTCCCTCGCATGCAAAATATATATATATATATATATACACACACACATATATATGTAAAGCTACAAATATATGTATAATACATATATATACACAATATAATAATTTAGTTATAATCTAATTTTTTATATTTAATAATATAATTGATAACATAATTGTGAACACACGATTGTGACTTGGTCCTATTATATTTTAGTCGGATGTTTTAATGTTATTTTTATAATATTGACATGTTGCTAATATTCTTAGTTGTTATTATTTGCAAATCGTTAAATGATCTAAAGTAAAGCAAATAGCAATTGAACATATCTTTATTTAATATTTGAAATAGAATAAATAACAAAATTGTTCCGTAAAAAAGTAAATTGTTAAACGTTGTAAATTGATTTCTTCCCCTGTAGAGGACCACGGGGAAACGGGACAGGGGCGGGTTGGCGGGCGGGGCCGCTCCATTGCCATCGTGCCACTATAACTAAAATTCGGTGATACTCTTTTTGGCCCCTATTAAATTTTAATAGGTTTTATTCCTCTCCCTCTCCTCTCTTAATCTAACCTAGCTTCCTCTTTTTCTAGTGATTAGAATGGGTTAAAATTTTCCCTTTCAATTGCAAAATTTAGCCATCCTGAACCATACTTCATCATCTCAATTCCCTCTCTTCGTTACAAAGGATCAAATTTTTGTGGAGAATTTTCTTGTCCTCTTTGTATTTCTCTCAACCCTCACTTTCGGAATATTTAATCAGGTTCGACGGTCTCACTATTAGTCCTTTCCCACCCATCCCTATTATGTAAGTGCATGTTAAGATTAATTGGCATCCTCATGTTTCTGATTTTTATTTTCTTTGTTTTTAATTTCTATTGTGTTCCTCTCAAATAAAACTGATTACTAGTAAATTAAATTTGATTCTGAGATGAGGAAAAAAGGAGGCTAAGATTACTTACTTGCTAGGTATTCCATTTGCAAGCTTCTTGAGAATTTTTTGGTTCACATTTATGTTAAATATGTGCTGATTCTACAACGCTTTCTCATTTGGTAATTTGCTATATGCTAATAAAAACTATAAGTGTGGCTAGTGGATTTGCCTAGAAACATTGTAGTTATTTGGTTTTTAGCAATTGTTGATACCAATACTGATATCTTTGTTTAAGATTGAAGAATTGTTGTTAGTTCTATTCGTTTACACAATATAAAGAAATGGGTCAACAAAAAGTCTATTCATGTATGCAATCCTTATACATTTTCAAAGGAACCAGGTTTCTTGCTAATGACGTCTTTAAGTGTGGCTAGTGGATTTACCAAGAAGCTTAGTAGTTGATTTGGTTTTTAGCAATTACCAATATTGATATCTTTGTTTAAGATTAAAGAATTATTATTAGTTCAATTTGTTTACACAACATAAGAAATGGGTCTATGAAAAGTCTATTTAAATATGGAATCCTTATGCATTTTCAGTGGAAGGTTCCTACTTAGTTCTTGAACATATTTGAAATGGTAATAAAATGATATTATGTAATTTTGTTAGATTATGAGCTTCTTGATTGGTTATTACTTATGTCAAGCCTACATCTAAACATACAATAATTTATGAAAACCTTAGAATTCAAATTCATCTAAAAACCCCAAATCTTAAAATTTTATGGTCCTATGGTCTTGTGGTCAGTGTAAAGCTTAATTAGAACCTGTAGTCTTTTATTGATGCCACAATAGCACTTGATTTCCACCCTTTGGAAAATGTGGAAGTAGCTACTTGTTGAGGTGTCAATATGGTTTCTGACTTGTTAACATTTGCATTATTGGTATTGAACTTGATATAGAATGCTCTGCCGTAGGATTCTAATGCAAAGTGCATCTTACATGCATAGCATATATCAAAGGTGTTTTAAGTTGAAAACAGAAAAGAAAGGTGAGCAGATAAAGAATTAGTAGAACTCGAAAAGTTAGTAGCAAGAAGAATTAAGTTAAGAGTTGCTCTATAACTAAAGCAAGGATATGATAATTAGTATATGTTCTCATTTGTTATGGATAACTACATACATGATGATTGTTAAAATGCCACTTGCTGTACTTGTGTAATTTCTTTTTTGCTTCTTCTTTAATGTACACCCGTTATACCTCAAGATGATAATTCAATATTTTTTGGAGATTGAAACTAGTGGTACTGGAAATTGCTTATAAATGCTTATTTTTTATGAAACTTTTCCATTTAGTTATTGTTCTATAATATGATTTTGTGCATTTTCTTTTCAATCAATGAGATTAGAATGTAAAGCTTCTTGGTAATATTGGAAAGAGCTCAAATTTTCAGTTCGGTTAGTACTCCATACAAACTTAGCTGTTCTTTATTGTCTAAGAATGATTAGTAATATTGATATCTATGACTATTACATCATATGCCGACATGTTTGTGATGCAAGTATGCAATAGTCTTCTAATATGTTTCAAAATTTTCTTTTTTTCTGAAACTTGTTGGAGTATAATAAGAGTTGGACAAATTTTTCAAGAAAAAGTGAAAAGTACAATAAAGGACTTATTATATTCATAAATTCTGTAGTGGATGCAACTCAAATTGGCATTTATCATTCATCTACTTCATTTAAAATGTCTTGGTAAATTGAGTAATAAAATTTTTGGTATACTCTTGGATTTGTTGAAGGAAACATTTCCCAAAGCCGTGAGTAATTTATCGCCATCTTATTATGCAGCTGATAAGTTGATCAATTAGTTAGGTTTCGAGCATGAAAAGTATGATACTTGTGCAAATGATTGCACTCTTTATTAGGGTTGTGATAAAGAAAGAATTTATGTGAAGCATGCAATAGAATTTTTTGTGAAGCATGCAAAGAGCTTAGGTTGGCTGTCTCGAAAAATGATCCAACTGGTGAGAAAAGAAAATTTTCTCGTAAAGTATTGTGGCATTTTCCCCTTGAAGCTAGGTCACAGAGACTGCTTATGTCCTCTAAAACTACATCTCACATGAGATGGCAGAAAGAACAATGTACAAAAGATGGTTATATTATACACACATCAGATTATCTTGCTTGGCAAACTTTTGACCATCAACATCCAGAATTTGCTAAAGATTGTCGAAATGTTAGATTGGGGTTAGCATCAGATGAATTTAATCAATTTAGAAATATGAATCCTTCACACAGTACTAGGCCCGTGGTCTTGATGCCTTGCGAATTTACCTCCTTGGATGTGCATGAAACAACCATATTTCATGTTATCATTGTTGATACCTGGACCGTATTCTCCTGAAAATAACATTGATATTTATCTACAACTTCTGATTGAAGAGCTGATTGAGTTGTGGGATGTAGGTCTTCAAACTTATGATGCATCAAAAAATAGAATTTTCAATTGTATGCGGCATTGAGGCGGACAATTAGTAATTTTCTAGGATATGCAATGCTGTCAAGGTAGAATACTAAAGGTGAATAAGCATGCCCTGTTTGTCACAAGTTACTCATGCACGGCAGCTAAGGCATGGTCTCAAACATTGCTACTTGGGCATCGTAGATTTTTAGATGGTAAACATAAGTTTAGGAAGGATGGCAATTCTTTTAATGCTTCAGCTTTTTCCTTATCCTTTTCTTTTTGCTTTTCAATGTATTTGCTAAATACATCTTCTGTTTTGCAATTGATCAAGGGTATGTTTGTCATAGCTATGGTTGTTGATTCCAGTTTAGGCAAATCTTTTTTTTTTTTTTTTACCTATATATTGTTTAAAGCTTCTAAATTTTGCTTTCTTCATATTTTCAATTGATTTATGTGATAAGTTTTATTTATTTTTTCATTTAAAAGGTTAAAGGGTCAAATTTCATGGGTAAAAGTAGCTAATTGATACAATTTGACTTGCTATATTTGTCAAATAGATTGAATTCATCTTCCAAAACCAAGTTTTATTGTGAAACTTTTGGACCAGGTATGTACTAATATATGGCTCGTAACCTCACGAATTATTTCATTTTCTCTGGCATTGATACTCTTGCATGATGGAATGGGAGATAAACAAATCACTCTAATGTGTTTTTTGTGCTAAAATTCTTAAGAATTCTGCTGTTTTATCATGTTTTGTTTTCTTTTTTTTTTTTTCTTTCTAATGTTTGCATATATGTTCTTTCAATTTATTTGTTATATTCTTCTTCTTCTTCTTCTTCTTCTGTTTTTCCCTGCAATCTATCTTGCTGGAATCTTGGTTTTTGACAAACTTTGCTTGGCCACGTTTATTGTTCAGGTGATAGAAAAAGTTATCGGAACTAAACCTTTGAACCATGAAGGAAAATTAAGAAAGTCTTGGGTTTTACACAATAGTAGAGGCTCTCTGCTCAAGCACAAAGGGTTTCTAGAAGTTATTAAGGTTTAAAACAAGGTAACTCCTATTTCTTTTAGAGCAGAAAAAAATGGAAATATTACCATGATGCTTGTTTCATTATATGCTTTTGACTACTGAAGCAATACCAAGTATATAGGTAAACTTCAACTATGTCCATCCCTGTTGCAACATTTACTTGGACAGTTGGCAAGCAACCTGGTAAAAGTTGAATTTCAAGGGATGGGCAATATTGAGCATCAGCAGTTAAGTACACAAAATGCCCACAACCAAGATAAATGGATGTATTTGAACAGAATGATGTTTTGTGAGAAAATCATATAATTTTCATATCTATCAAAAAAAGCTTCGCTTCATACCTCGCTGCATTTGTTCTTATGGATGCTTTATTTGATTTTGATGCTTTCTAAGAACAGCTGCTACAAATTTGTTTTTTTTTTTCCCTTTTGCTATGGTATATTCGTTATACTCTTGAATGATGGCAACGTTGCCAGAATTTTTTAAGGTAGTAGCTAAAAGAATCACTTTTAAATTGCATTCGTCATCTACACCTTAAATGATATATTTCCCTTTTCTCATTTCTTCTTGAGATTTTTCTTTTGGCTTTTCTTAAGCTCTTAGTTTATTTTTTCTTTTTATTTACTTTGGGTTTTTTTCTTTCCATACATCTCACCTATGAAGTTTAAAAACTTTGTGTTTAGAGCTTTTCCATTTTAGCTAATTTGAGAAGGGAAAGGCAAAAAGGTAGGACAAAAGAGACTTGATATGAATAAAATTTTGTGCTGGCTTAAAGAGAAGTTTTTTCTTTTTCCTAGCAAGGGAAGGGTAGGATTTAAAAAGTGGGAAGAGGACATGGGGATTGGAACTCAGGTACTCTAATTTCTGGATCCTCAACCTTGGCCTCTAGACCAAGGCCTCCTTGGCTTCTTAAAAAGAAGATTTAAGTTGAGGATACTAATGTCTATTGCTGTCTGTTTTATGCAGGACTCGTCCGTTGAGGAATTATGGCCAAGAATGGTGAGGAATCAATCTGCCAAGTCCTTTTTTTGCTTACTTTGCATAGTTCATTGTGTAACATCATTAAGGACTTCTGAAAGCAGGAACTTATGTTTCAATTTCTTGGTTTTATAGTTCTTCAGACAATATGCTGATGCCGTTGATGTCCATAATTTCACAGACAAAGAAAGATCTTTAGCTCGGTCGCTTTTGAAAAGGTATGAATAATTTCAATTTCTTCCACTTGTCTTGATCACTAAAAAACCTTGATGTCTTCCTACTATATAATGTGATGTATTCAGAAGGCATTAAATTGTATCCCACTATTTGTATAACAAGCAATAATATTGGAGAAGCACCACGAATGCAAAGTATCATCTCATTTGATGAAAAAAGCAAAAGTGAAGAATTAGTGTGCCACGAATAGTTATCTTTTTAAAAAATAGTAAGCTCAATATGCCACAAGCATGCACCAAGTATCTGTGCCTTGCGTGCGATTGCTGTCACAATTTGCATATAGATATATGGGTTATTCCAAAGTTAATATCTCCTTTTCACTTTACTCATTGAACGTTCAATTTCATCAATCTCCCTCTTGTACTATTACATTTTTCCTAAGTAAGTTCTTCTTGTTATTTATCTATTTATTTATTGTTTGTAAAAATTTTTTCAGTAGGAGAAGGGTGGGATTTAAGAAGTAGGGAGGGGGCAAGGAGATTTGAACTGAAACCTCTAATTTTTGGGAGTTTCAAATCTTTTTTTGTCTGTGTGTTTTAGTGGGAGGTCTTGAACCTATAGGACTTCCTACTTACCATCTTTTCCGCCCTTACTATCCAATCCAACCCTTTCCCCTCAACCTATTATTTAGTTGCTTATAATTATAAAAATTTTTACTATTAAAAAAAGAATAAAAAACCTATCCTATATTGAAAAGTTTTACCATAGCATATTACTATTTCTTGGAAAAGAATGAGGAATTCCAGAGAGCAAAAACTATGAACTAGGGTCATATGAGAACTGTATATATTTTTTAGGATAATTTATTTGGATAATTAACTATTATCTAGTTTGTTAAATTAAAAGTCACCAGGAAGCACGTGAGCTCCATGTATTTCGTAATTTCTATGTCAAAATACTGGAATAATTAGTCAAAAGTTGAATATTATTTGAAGTTATTTTGAAAATGTATAATTAGTCAAAATTGGAATATTGTGTAAAGTTATTTTGCAAAATGTTAGATTAAAGTAGGGGAATATATCAAAACATTCAACATAACAAAACTCCATCATATAACTAAATTGAAGGGACAAAATATCTTTATCATTGAAAGCTTAGGTCTGTACATCTAGAAAGAGTATAACATGCTAAAACATTTAACATATTAAAACTACACAGTATACCGTCAACAACAAATAATGTCAAGAACAAAATAATTTTGTTTATTTCCATATTTGATGGATTCAAAGACTACCAAGTAGTGTTAGAGATTTTGTTAAGCATGCTAAAATTGGAAGAACTTGCTTAATCTTATACTAGGAGGTGCTCACCGCGCCTACGCGCGGTGTAAATTTCAAAGACATGCCCTGTTGCTGAGTAAGCTAATAAGAAACTGTATTGTTGGATGTTTGAAACACAGGTCCATAGGAAACCTCGTCACTATTGCTCGTTCTGGAGAAGCTTCTAAGGCTCGTGAGGGTTCTCATAACTCCCTACAATGTTAACAGGTACACCCGCTGCTATCAGATTTAGCAGTGTATGCTCCAACAAGTAGTTGGTCATTTTAATCTCAAAATTGATGTAGTATAGAGAATCACAACATTTAACTAATAAGTACAATGCAGATCAATCAATTACACCTGATGGAAGATGATATAAATGAAAGTTATATTCAGAATGAAAATCCTCAAACCAAAAGACAATTCTTTAAATGTCTAATAACTTTTAGTACCTAATAGTTGGATTTTGCACCAATTCAGTCCCTCGGGTTCCATAAGAAACACATTTAGTGTCTTAACTTTCCAATATAGAACGATTAATTGACATAAAGCAAGCTAATCAGAATTAGGTGAAGCACGCAAGGATGTTTAACTGTTGGCTTTGGAGGTAAACAAACATTACAGGGCAATATATGTTCCAGTCAATGGTTAAAAGCATTAGCTGATCTATGCAATGTAGAAGCCTTTCCACAATGCAGTAGCTGGTTGTCTGTTGATACCTATTTATCACATTGCCTCCCAAATAGAGAGCATTGTGCTATGAAATATACGAAAAACATTTAGGCAATTGTGCAGAAAAAATGCCCATTGTCTTCTGTTCAACTGATGCCGAGAGCTAATGTCCACATGCAGTACTAGTTTCCTCTCGCAATTAATATCCAATTTCAGAACAACTGTCCATGATATGTCCAAATTGAGAAGTTGATGAATAATGTGTGTTCCCAAAAGTTGACTGACCAAAAAAAAAAGGATAATCATTTAATAGAGTAGCATTATTAAAAAGTGCTGAACAATTCGTAGCATCATGCGTAGGGACAATATATTAAGAACTTTGGAATAATCACCAATAATTAAAAAATTTTGATATTACTCCTCATACCTGATTAGACGCTGTTCCACCACTAATACCAGTATTTGCAAGAGCTCCTACACTGTGTTTATTCACATGTACTCAGACTTTTCCATGTTGGAGAAAGACCATGTCATCATCTCCAGGTGTTTCAATTACAGTAGCCAACCTTTTCCCAAGTCCCTTGACATACATTTGCTCACCAGACCGTGGTACATGCAACCTACTGTCCGTATTCCCAATAGAAAGACCATCAGTAGGCTGATGAGCTTCAACAAGGGATGCAATTGCAGACTCTGCTTTCTTCAGCAACAGATTGTACTTATCTGCATCAGCATTTTTAAGTTGGTTCTCAAATTCATGCACTATATCTTAAATTTCCTTCTTCACAACCTTCAATTCCTGTTGGATCTGTTGGCTCTCCTTGGTCTCAAGAGCTGTCGCACGCCCTTCAAAGTGATCTGCCGCATTTATTTTCTTCAATTTAGGAAGGAAAAATGGAGTAAACAGAAAGTTATGAAACAAAAGAGGGTGCAAACTGTGAGGTAACAAAGAAGAGTATTCACCACTTTCCACCCCTTTTAAAAGTTGAAGTGAAACAAAAGGGGAAAAATACTCTTGTACATAATATGATGTACTCACCTATATGTAATAGCATGTAGTGTATAAATAAAACACACTTATATAAATGGATACATGTATAGGTTAAGAAATTAAAATAAAAAATGATAGATATCATGGGAAACAGAAGTTGCCAAGAAGAGAGAAAAGCCATTCCTTGCCCACCAATATGAGCGAACACGTTACACTAGTGCTGTATGCAAGTGCTTCAGCTTTCTGTGCAACTTATGTGACGATAAACATAAATGAAGGAAGCAGACTAGATATGGTAATCAGGGACTGCAATAAAATAGGAGAAAAACATTTTCATTGCATATTGTCTCATAACAATTATCTCTTTCCTCAAAGATTAAATATTTACAATCATGCAACTTATGCATACCTCATAATAAATGCTCATAATATCCGAGTGAAGAGATGCAGCTTTATTTGCTTGAATTTCTAATCTACTTCTTTCTTCCAGTAGTCACTGGTGCAGCAAATCTTTCTGCATCTGTACCTTCTGTGGGGTCAACTTGTTTATCCATGCTTGGGCACAGTTAATTATCTTCTCATCAAAGCCAATTCTTTTAGCAATGTTTATGCCATTGGATTCTTTTAGCAATGAAGCCTGTCATAGTCCAGTCCACATTCACCAATTGCTGCCACCTTACAAAAATTAAATTGTCGCATTAAGAAAATTGAGGAAGATACACGTATCTAAAGTAATCTTTTCTATGTTCTTCTAAATGCAGCACTTTAGTTTACCTTTCCTTTCTCAACCCCCTCTTTAGTCAATAAGAGAAGAGACTGAAAATGCTTTTCAGGATCCCCACTCTGATCAAATTCCTGAATCGATCACAAATGTATCCATTCATCCTTATTCTCACACATTCAATAACTTAAGGATGGCATTCAGAAGAGTATCAACAGTCACTTTGCATCTTGTTGGGTGCACATCAAGCATGCAAAAAAGTCTTGCTGCAAGGGAAAATGGATTGCCAAGAATATAGGGTATAAGGCGCCAAGCGAGAGACAAATGGCAGAGAAAGATGAAAAATCTAACGAAGGAAAACGTGTCTGGCTAACCATCAGTTTCAGCAATAGCAAGAGCTTCTTTTGATTCCTCTAGAAATCCACCAGTAACCTAGGACAGAAAACGCAAGACAACTAAAGAATCATTTAGCATGATTAATCCCGATTACAGAAGGCAAATAACCAACCTTACCAACAAGAAATAAACCTCTCAGTTCTGTTACTCCAATAAAATGGAATGAATTACAAATCAGCAAATTTTACAAGCTCATCCATCCTCTATGATATTAAAACAAGAGGTTGAACTTCTCCAAAAGTGGAACTTCAAAAGACCCAAAGTTCATATTCTCTCAATTTATTGAGCAAGCCAAACTATCAAACAGCCTGAGTTAATAATACCATCTATCTAACTACAAATAGAGTTTCATTTTGTGGGACCGCTGATACTCCTTTTCCAACCCCTGAAAAAAAAAAGAAAAAAAAGAAACCCTACTAATAGGCTGCAAACTTATCCTTTGCAACAAGCTAATAGTAATACCAACCAGAAAAATAGTCGCACGAGACATATCCGTATGAAAAAGATCAAAGTTTTGTTCAGGGATATATACTTACAATAATTCGATCAACACCGGCGCTCCAAGCCCTGCTGAGTACTGCAACAATATCTGCCACATGGTATTTCTTGCCGTTGTATATTCCTTTGAACATACCATCTGTAATTGAGATTCATTAATGCATTAAAAGTAGGTTTACTGAAAAAACTATGTTTCACGGAAAGTGTTTTAGAAAGATTTAAGATTTGACATACCAGTGAGATTGACTGCTATATCTGTTCAAGTTAAAACCCCACAAATACTATATCATTAAACATGATTAAAATGACTCGGTGCCTTATTCAAGACAAATACAGAAAAGGGTTACTTGCCAATCATTCGGATAGTCGCCATTAGTGAAAGTTGGAGTCTTTTTGGGTGTCTGTCTGCCTGAGAGTCCGCTTGAGATGAGATCAACTGGAAGTCTAGAACAACAAATAAAATTTAATAGAAAATAAAAGAAAATTTAATCAAGGGGCAAAAACAGCATACACAAAATTAAAATGGAGAATGCAGTGGACTTGAGAGACAAACAAAAAACAAAAAACAGAGAGAGATGGAGAGAAGAATATTGACTTGTGTTAAAAAAAAATAGCGAAGAGGGGCAAAAGAGCAGAGTAAGATTGATTGACTGAGAAAAGGAAAAGGGAAAACAAAAGGTGAGAGAAAAAATGCACCTTTTGGAGAAAATGCACCTCAGGTTCCAATCAAATCTGCAAAATTGCACAAGAAAGAAATACAAAGGGCATAAAAATGTTCACCTTGTTCTCTCTATTTTGATGGATAAAACGTCGGTTGGCAGCTGGCTCACCTGACCAATCTTTATGAAGGAGAGCAAAACGAAGAAGCAGCTTCGAAGAAACAGAGCAATAAAAGAGAAAATGAGAACCGAACAAAGCAGCTCCCAAAGATAATCATGTAAGAGAGAATATAGGATGTTGTGCTATAAACAATGATACAAAAAAGGAATGCAAAAATTAAACACATCACTAACCATTAGCACAAGAAGAAAATGCCGGCAACAATGCATAGCTCTACCTGCAGCGGCGGGTTGGACAGAGCAAAGAAACAGCGGTGGGTTGGACAGAGCAAAGAAACTGCTACAGTCCTCCTTTCAATAGCCGTCAACAGTGATAGAGTTATGTTTTTACAAATACAACCCAAAGGTAAATAGAAATTGACCTCCTGACATGAGCACGAAGAACAAGAAGAAAACGGTAAGAACAAAATGAATTGTTACAACTGTCCTTATAGTCAACTGAGCTCAGTTATTACAATGATGACAATCAAGTCCCAAGTCCCAACACATATGGGAAAAGCCGAAACAGAAATGCTGCTGAAGGGGTCCAATCGGATGCAAGGAAAGTGAAGGCATGTAGCATTCATTTGAAAAATACAGTAATAACATTTCCATTCGGAATTTTTGTTTGCACAAACAGGGGCAATCCTCACGTACAAGGACGACCATAAATCGTCCAATAATATTTTGCCACATCACAAAAAAAAAAGAGCCCTCTCGGCACACCTCTACGCATTTAGTACATATGTGTTTATATGAAAGTAATGTTATGAGACTTTGTCTATCACCCACGTTTTGGCCCATCCCATTCATGTACACTCAACAATTCATTGTGTGTGTTCAAAATATAATCAAATTCAACAGTACTCACTATGTTGGCAAGGATGGAACTAAGGGGAGGCACAAAGGGGCCACTGCCTTTCAAGTTCAAGAAATTACATACTGTCTCCCATAAAATTTTGAGAAGTTTTAAAGTTCCCTATATATATTTAACTATTTGCTACCCAAGTTCTAGAAAATCATGCTTTTTCCTTTTAAAACTTATGAAAAATTTTAAAATTCCTATATGCATATATTTATTTATTTATATAAAGCTATTTGTTTCCAAAACTTCTCAAAAAGTTTTATGTTGTCTCTAAAGTTTACATGTGTATGCATTTCGCCCCATCCCCATCAAACTAAATTTTCTAGTGGATGTAAAGGATGTGCTATAGAAGTTGGCAGCCATCAGCTTTTTCCTTCTCTAAGAAGAAAGAGATAATTAATTAATTGATTAATCATAGCTTGCATTAATTGATTTATCTAGTGTATGTAAAGGATAAAGGATGTGCTGTATAAGTTGGCAACCATCAGCTTGTTCCCTCTAAGAAAAAAGGGATAATGAATTAATCAATTAATCATAGCTTGCATGTGGACCTGGAGCCAAACTACCCAACATTATTGAGACAACCGAATGCTATCATCAATTGATCGAGTGACCAACCGCTCATTCAACGGTGTTTTAGAAGTTTTGCCCATACTCTCTCGAACGCCATATTAAACTCTTGCTACTCTCTTACAGTGAACTAATTCCCAGCCTTCACCACAATGGCCGTCTTCTCTGCCACCTGTAGGGTTGATGTTGATTTTTTACATCAAAATGGCTCCATTCCGTGCATAAATGACAGCCTAGGCGATGACGAGCTTCGGGCCATTTTACTTAAGCTGGAAAATGACAAAGATAAGGAGTTGTTTGGACTAGTTTGTAAGCGATGGCTTCACTTGCAAAGCAGCGAAAGACGCAAACTTTGTGCTCGGGCCGGACCCCACATGCTCCGGAGAATGGTGGCTCGGTTCACTCGTTTGGTCGAACTTGATCTCTCTCAGTCCACTTCCAGGTCTTTCTACCCCGGTGTCACTGACTCTGATCTTTCCGTAATTGCCACGGCTTTCTCATGCCTCAGAAACCTCATTCTTCAGAATTGTAAAGGTAATTTTATTTTTTTTGACCTTTCTATTTGTGTAAATTCTGAATTTGCTGGAATATAAAGTTGCTGACTTTAATTTATTTAATAGGATTTTCTTTAACTTTTACGAAATTGAACAAATGTTGGTTTTCCTCAATTTGGTATTCCTTTTTCCCTAAATTTTGACAAATTCATTGAAAATTTTAACTCAAATTTGTAATTTTCCTTTTTGTTATGGTGATACAGTTGTAATTGTTTTCCTTATTATAGGTGATAGATAAAATTAATTTAATGATTTCTTTTTTTTGTTGTCATACTAAGTATGCTGCGAAAATCTCAGCTTTTATTGGAATACCAAAATATCATTCCAAATTTTCAGTCAAGAAATTGAAAATTATAGATAACTTTGTGTTTACCTTATTGAATTGATTGGGAATTTCAGATTATTATTTGAGTTGAAATTATAAATGCATGATGATAAAGTTCCTATCTTAATGCATGGAAAACGTTGTTTCAGTGATTATAAAATGTATTCCATAATTTGGACGGAAACATGCTTGAGTTCCTAGGAAAAGTTGCTGAAAATGGGTGATAACTTTTGACAATTTCTTTCATTGGGTATGTGCCTTGTTAAATGTGATGCCAATTATTTTTCTTAGTTATTCATTATTCGCATTTGTTACGATCAAATAGGTGTAGTTGAAATGTAGATGCATACACACACAAATACGTATGTTTAGATATGGCTATCAATCAGTCTAAAACAGTAGAATTAGCCAGTTAAACTGTATAATGAGAATAAGGGATTTGGAATTGATCTAGTGCAACTTTGATTCTTTATACTATATTGGGTCCAATATTGATAGTTAGGCAATTTGTGCTATCGGAGATGATGTTGTGAACGAAAATCTTTTTTCTACTTAATCATGAACCTTATGGTGCAAATGGAAAATGGGAAAGCTGTTTTGTCATTGTCTCATTCCTGCTCCTTTCCTTCTTCCTCTTTTTGGTGTTAATAACATCAAAACATCCAAACTTTTGTTAAACATTGAAGAGTAATATGATTGTTGTTATAATGCTTAACTTATTCTCTTGTGTTTTAGGTATATCAGATATAGGTATGAAAGCAATCGCTGCTCATCTCCCTTATCTGCAGTCATTAGATGTTTCATATTGTAGGAAACTAAGAGACGAGGGGTTGTCTGCTGTGGCTCAGGGCTGTCGTGACCTGAGAGTCTTACATCTTGCTGGCTGCAGATTTGTGACGGATTCATTGTTAAGAACTCTTTCTGACAACTGCAATAACCTAGAAGAATTGGGTTTGCAAGGATGCTCAAGCATAACCGATTCTGGTCTTGTGCTTCTTGTTCAAGGCTGTTGGAGGCTGAAGAACTTAGATGTAAACAAATGCAGCAATGTTGGTGATATAGGGGTAACTAGTGTTTCTAAAGCTTGTTCTTCTTTGAAGACATTGAAGTTGTTGGATTGCTATAATGTTGGAGATGCATCCATATTATCTGTGGCCAACTTCTGTGGAGATCTTCAGAATTTAATAATTGGTGGTTGCCGCGACGTATCTGATGAGTCCCTCAAGCAATTGGCAGTTGCTTGTAGCAACAGTCTTAAGAATCTTCGGATGGATTGGTGTTTAAACATTTCAGATTCTTCAATAGAGTGCATACTTCAAAATTGCAAGCAGCTTGAGGTGCTTGATATAGGTTGCTGTGAAGAGGTGACAGATGCTGCATTTCAGGGACTTGGAGGTGGACTCTTCGAGCTTCATTTGAAGATTTTGAAGGTTAGTAACTGTCCAAAGATCACGGTAGTAGGGATTGGCAATCTATTGAAGTCGTGCAACTCTCTCAAATATCTTGATGTACGGTCATGCCCTCATGTTACTAAAGCGGATTGTGATCAGGCCGGATTGCAGTTTCCTGAAACTTGTAAAGTTAACTTTACTGGGAGTTTGACTGAGCCTGAGGTGTTATTCTAGATTGGAAACTAAGGACTCTGGTGTTGGTGTTACAACTTTGATTGAATATTTGAGAAACCTTAACTAGATTTTAGAGATCTCCCGTTGTGCCTCGTCTATCCGACACTCTGAGTTTCTCTTGGTATAAGGTGGCTTTAAACGTCTAGTGCTTTTGGCTTAAGTTTATTGTCCAACCTTATTGTAATATGCATAAAACAATTCTAAATTAGTCTTGATCTTCTGATTTGCAATGTTGAGGTATTCTTTTCATATATGGAGTATAAATCTGAGTAAAGGATTATCTGTAATATATTTGCAACCTATCCAGCAAAGATCTTTCTTGGATTTATGACCCACCAAGGCTTAATGTTGGAGTATTGTCGCTTTAGAATCAAGATGTAAAGTTAGAACTGTGTGATTTAAAAGGTCCACAATGTTAAATAACCTTGCAAGCTTTGGTTACTGGATATTTCATTCACCTTTGTGATAAACATGATTTCTGTTTGACAAAATGTCTTTACATGACAATCATTTTATTTCTGATTCCTATGCTGTACCTGCCTGAATTGGTTTTCTTTTGCTATGCCAACAGATAGTCGTGTTTGTCAGGCAAAATCTCAATTGATAATGCCGATGTTCAGCTTGTAATAATTGAATTACGGTTAATACTGTACTTTGATCAATTATGTGTCTTGGATGATAAAATTTTGATGCATGTTGGGATGTAGGGAAACAATCTGAGGTAATCACTATGCATTATGCTAAAGAAAAGGTATAATGATTAGTGCAAGGAGATTTACTATGATTAACCTATTGAGATATTATAATCTATCTACTACTTATTTATCTATACACGGTTGTCTAACTATCAGGTTTGAACTATGAAGTGCAATGTAAAAAACAAAGTATTTCTTGAAAGCATTCCCCTTATGTGAATGCCCGGCATAATCGTCGATGACAATAAAAGAGAAACCGTCTTTTAGAAAATAATCGATAAACATTGGGAAAGGCTTCTTAGGATTAGTCGTAGGCAAATACCAGCTTACATTCTTTTTTGTTCAAAACAGCCATGGCTCGTCTCTGTGGACGCTTTCCACTGCTTGAGTTTCTTCTCTTCGTCTGCGGAATACAGTTTTGTTATAACGATAAAGCTTATTCAAATATTAGCCGTGTTGATTGGGAGCGAAGAGCTTTTCTTGAGTTTAGATTAAACCTAATTGATAAATGAAATCATTTGTCATCGTGGAAAGGAGATGATTGTTGTTCATGCGAACGAGTTAGCTGCATATAGGCCATGTGGTGAAGTTTGATCTACATAATGGCCTTTCCTTGATCCTGAAAGAGGCTATGTTGACACAAATTAATATGCAAATTACAGTAACAATCGCTTGGGAGGTCAGATAAATCCTTCTTCAGTGAATTTGCAGCATTTGTATTACTTGTATTAGGGATGACGATGGGGCAAAGGTGAGGAGGGGATCCCTCCCCCGTCCCCCACCCGATGTTCTAAATTTTTTTCTTGCTACCGCATATTCTAAAATCTCCTACTTTCCTTAACCTGGTCCTATGCCCTGCGGGTGCCCTGTGGTTGATTAATTATAAATTTTATTTTGACATTATTTGTCTACATATATAACATCAATAACAATCTTGTAAATTATTTCAATAGCAATCTTGTAAATAATTTCTCCAGATTTTTAACTAAATATTCAGTGTAAAATTGAGGAT